AACCACTCGTCGAGCGGAGGTATCTTAGCACTTTGATCAGTGCCTTCCAGTGTTGTGAGCCAGGGTTTTCTGCAAATCGTCCAAGTTGGCTCACAGGAAATGCTGCGTCTGGTCTGGTCGTGGTCACTATAAACAGCAGTCGTCCCAGCAATTGGCGGTACGGTGTACGACTCATGGCTTGTCTTTCGACATTGGACTTTGGACTGTTTGCGCTGGACAGTTTCATGCTCTGATCACATGGGTTACCAGTTGGTCGGGCTTGAGTCTGTCCAAACATGTCTGCAGTCTCCTCGATGTATCTTTGTTGCGAAATAAACATCTCACGCTTCTTTCGGTCGTACATAACTTCCATTCCAAGCAAGTGCTTCACTGGACCAAGGTCTTTGGTTTGAAACCGCTGAGAGATTTGTTCTTTCACCTTGCGTACCGTGGTTGCTTCTTTTGCAGCCACAATCATATCATCAACGTATAAGCACACGTACGCCCAGCCTTCACCATCCTTTATCTTGTATATGCATCGATCAGCACCGCACGCGACAAATCTCATCTCCAGTAATGCATTGTGAATCGTCTTATTCCAGGCATTTGCAGCCTGCTTAAGTCCGTAAAGCGCGCGATTCAATTTAAGTACAAACTCGCTGCCAATTTTCATCCCTTTGGGTGGTAACAAGTATACTTCTTCTTGTAGGTCGGCATTCAGGTAGGCCGTATCAACATCAAGCTGGTCGATCACATATCCTGCTGCGCAGCAAATCGACAATAGCATCCTGATGGAGTTCATACTGGCGACAGCCGCGTACGTCTCGAAAAAGTTGATACCATATTGTTGCAGGAATCCGAGCGCCACAAGTCGTGCTTTGTATCGACCATCACTCTTTTTAGCCCATACCCACTTCGATCCAATTGGTTTCATTCCAGGCTTGCGTACAATTGGTGTCCACGTCTTGTTACGCTCATGAGCCGCAAATTCATTCTCAATAGCTTTAATCCATTGGTATCTGTCAGGTCCATTCACTGCCTCCGCATAAGAGCCAGGTAAATCACGAGCTATCATGGCAACTTCTGCTATCAATGCCACATCGCTGTTTATTCGCGATCGCTTGGAAGGAGGTTCGTCATCTTCACTCCCACTGGCTTCATGGTTTTCATTGTATGGCACAATGCTGTTTTCTGTTGTGGTACTAGTGTTATTGTCTTCCAACAAGAGCTGAACAGGTTGCTCAATTGGTAGCATTTCATCAACACCTCCTCGTGGTCCGGATTCACTTCTCCCACTGGCATCGTCAGTAAGAACACGATACTGATGCTCGCGACCGGAACGACGCTTAAGTTGTGGACGGAACACCATCGCTCCAGAGTCGTGCGGATTGTGTAATTCGAGTTCTTGGTGACGAGGTCCTTGTTGAATTACTTGGGAAGTGTGTTGATGTTGTTCGTTGTTCATATTTCTTGCAAGATAATGATTGCTTGTCTCACTCGAAGGTGTGTTACTGATGTCATTGTCAGAACTCGGTACTTCCATCTCCACATCTTCGAGAATTTCGTGCTCTTCCATTTCAACATCTTCATCACCATCTTGTTGCAAGTTACTTGGTTGATCTCCATCATCGTCATCTTGTCGTATTATTATCATCTTCGGGTGTGGTACAACCGGATTGTCTTCGTAAATGTTACTAACTTCACGTTCATCTAACGCGATCGAACGACTGATCTTGATCGTACCAGTCTCCAGATCAAGCACCCTGTAACCCTTGGTGTGTCTTGCATATCCTAACAGCATGCAGCGAAACCCTTTCGCGTCGAATTTCGTGCGCTTTGAGTCATCGATATGTGCGTATCCAAGTGAACCAAATACACGTAGGTGAGAAATTTCGGGCTTCGTCTTAAAGCACAGTTCAAAAGGAGTCTTCTCCTCGTGATTGCAGTTAGTGGTTCTGTTAAGTAAATACACCGCCGTATTCACAGCTTCGGCCCACCACTTCTTTGCCACCCGCTTGTAATGCATCATGCTTCTGGCCGTCTCAACAATCGTACGGTTCATCCGTTCAGCAACACCGTTTTGTTGAGGACTGTAGGGTACTGTCTTCTGATGGATGATGCCGTGTTTCTTGCAGTACGAAGCAAACCTCTTGTTTTTGTATTCACCGCCATTGTCAGTACGTATGGCCTTAATACGAAATCCACACTGCTGCTCCATCTCGGTCCGAAATTCAATGAACTTCGACAGTACTTCACTCTTGGACTTCAGAAAATATACAGTCACTAATCTTGAAAAATCGTCCACGAGAGACAATACGTATCGTGACCCACCAGGAGTTGGGTTCTTCATAGGGCCCATGACGTCAGAGTGAATAAGCTGCAGTGGCTGCGTTGTCTTTGTCTTCGACTCTTGTGGAAAACTCGCGACACACAGTTTCCCTTGTAGACACCCTCCACACAAATTCTTGTTCGTGTCAGGTACTACATTCGGTAGTCCTTCCGTAGCCTCCTTTGTCTTTTTAAACTTGTTGTGGCTAATGTGACCCATTCGTGCATGCCACAGCTCCCACTTGTTACCAGCGTCTTCATGTTCTACCAACATCGCGTGCTCATACTCCACATCAAGAGTGTACACGCTTATCATGCGCTTCGCAGAAATCATCAACACATTATCCTTGTAGATACCGCACTATTTTATCACCGAATCGAACGTTGTACCCACGCTGGACGATCTTGGGCACCGCTAGTAGTCGTCTGTCCAGCGTTGGAATGTGCAATACTTCATTCACAGTCACTGCTGTACCATTCGTACAGCGAAATCGAATGCTTCCTCGTCCAATTGCATTCATGACCGCACCATCGGCAACGCGAACTTGAATGGCTTCTCTCAATTTCTCGTACTCAAAGAAATCTTCTTCGGCTGGGGTCATATGTGACGAGGCGCCGCTGTCCAACAACCATCCTTTTTTTAATCCGTTTGTGGCCGTGAATGCCATTTCATTTCCATCATTCTTGGTGGCAGATCGGCACTCAAACTGCTTGTGTCCGATCTTGTTACAGCGGTGACACTTCCCACGAAACGGCTGTTTCTTCTTCCAGCTCTCTTCTGCACCACGTTGTTTGCGCATTCCACGACCACGATCCTGTTTATGGCCTCCACGACCAACGCGGAAAGCTCCTTCGGAGACCTCTTGCTGCTGCTTCTTCTTGTGTTCCTTCAACAGCTTTTCTTTCACATCCACCATCGTCACACCCATGGAATTCTCAATGATGGACACAATCATCTCGTACTCTGCCGGTAAGCTACTCAGCAGAACTGTCATCTGGCGTGCGTCGTCCATGGTATCGCCCACCGCCTCCATACTCAAAACAAGTTCATCGAAACGGTCGAGGTGGCTCACCATGTCGCCTCCCTCATCCATACGAAATTCGTGCAATCGACGTGTCAGTGCCACTCGATTCTGAAGGTTTGTCTTGTTGTAGTAGTCGCGTAGTGTTTCCCATGCTTCCTTCGCAGTGCGAGCATGTCGGATCTTCGTCTGATGCTTTACTTCGATCCCTTGAGCAATAATAGCAAACGCCTTCATGTCCTTGACCTTCCAATCCTCCGTCATCTCCTGCTCCGACTTCACTTCCAAGATGTGCTCTAGCAGGCCCTTCCTCGCAAGTGTCATCTTCATATTGAATTCCCAATGGAAGTAGTTGTCTGTTCCAAGCAGGTCATCGGGTTTCTTCATCGTACTGGCTTCTGGCAGGGGTCCTTAAGCTCTTGGGCTCATAACCTGTTATGTCGAAGGGAAATTGGAAAGTGTATTGAATTAGTTTTCCTATGAACTTACTCGTCGTGTTATCTTCTTCTACCTTGTAGCTTTCCCTGATCTTGATGGATTCTAGAACATACACTCAAGGTAGTTCTAGAATCATCAGACTGCACGTGAACCGTTTACACCCTGTCGTATCATCGCTGTCTTGTCACTTGTGCGTAGCAAATCACAGTTGGCTTTGTTGACCGTGCATTGACAGTGCACCCATCAACATCATCGACGCAAACGAGTCCTCTGAAGTTACGATGTGCTCAGTTTTGCGCTCGTGTGTCATTTGCGATACATACGTGTCAAAAAGCTGTCGAAATAACAGCCTTGTAATGACTGCTTTACATCGGAAAAAGTATGAGCACAAGACGTCATGATGATGCATCGACCTACGCGCACAATCTGAACGTTTCTGATAAACAACACTTATTCGGCATACCTGTACGTGCTTAACCACAGAAACATGCCTCTACATTTGTCTAGATGGCTAGTATCTATCTTGAAGCGAAGACGACGACAAGCATTTCTGCCGCATATACCGGTCTTAGTCATGGACTACGGTTGGCAAAACACAGCGAATTCCTACCGTTACATGTCATCGGGGACAGTGTACTGGTAATCAACCAGGTCCGGGGTAATCGCTCCCCTCTCAAGCTGCACCTCGCCGCATTGTACCGGAAAGCGCGAGCTCTTGCTGACGATGTCTCAGTCTCCAGCTGGGCTCCCCATATCCGAGAATACAATAGGATGGCTGAATTTGCAGCGAGCATTGTGATGCATACCAAGGCAACTCTTCAGGTTCACCCCCCTATAGAAGCACCGTTTCGGACATCACACGTCACATCCAGCACGACGTCAACCACTGGCTCAAGACATCGGCCGAACTCGACAGCGGATCGACGTCCCACAACAAGCAGACTGTCCGCGATATAGCATTGCCAGGACAGCAATTGATGGCCAGGAGAACCGCTCTTCGCGCGATGGCGCCCTCGTTCACCATAGATAGCAACCCCAGATAGTTAACTCTCTCTGGCATTGGTATTGCTGGTCGATAACGTATTCAATATGCCTCACCTTCAACAACAACAACAACTTATTCGGCATACTGGTTTCTACCGATCCTCTATTCGATACAGTGCTGCCCTACAACAACAGCAATCAGAACGTCTTTGACATTTACATCCCACCCAGGCCCACATTTCTCTTTTTTCACACATATGTGACAGTACTGAGCGAGTACTTGCAGGAGATGCGTAAGGCGCCCGTACCGACCGAGCACACTTCGACCTTCTTGCCCTTGATCTTGATGCCTTCAACTGTGATTTCGTCGCCGTCGTTCTGTGTCAAGAGTCTCACGCGACCGTTGACGGCAAACAGGTTCCTGATTATGACCTTCACACCCTTGTTGCCGCAATCGCTACATGAGCGGTAGAATGTTCCATAGCTCTCTACGTAGAAACCCTCGATAATCAACGAACCGTAGCCGTTGTGCTGCACCACCTTGTCCGCGGCCAAGCGTGCACCGCCGCCAATCACTGTTGTCACGCTGCTTTCTGAACCGCCCTTGATGCTCAGCGCGTCCTCGCATACAGCATCCCACCACACGTTGATGATATTGCAACCCCCCTCACAGTGCACACCCTCCATTTGGTCCGCTCCAATGATCGCGTTCTTCAGTGTACCGCCGTTCTCGACAACGAAGACGGCGTTTTGCCACGCACTCTCCGTAGCGCCACGGCACTTGACGTTTGATCGCTGGTACGTCTTCATCTTGCCATCGAAGACCTCGCCGCTCTTAACCGTATAGGGCGCTGCGAAGTATACATCGCCTTGGCTAGTGGGCCATGAGCCATCTGGCATGGCAGCCGACTGGACGAGTATGGAGGTACCCAAAGGCACGGCAGCAGTCATTGCAAGCACAAGCACGACGAACGGAACGGCGCTGACCATAGTGGGCAATCAGGAGTGCTTGTAGTTGTAGTTGTAGTTGTTGTATTTGTTGTTGTTGTCGTTGTTGTCGTTGTTGTTGTCGTTGTTGTTGTTGTTGTTGAGCTTCGAAAGACGTTTGTGGTCGATGGATTGGTTGTTTGCTGCAACGGGTGTCAATTGAGTAATGCACATTGGTGTGCGGGTAGTTTTCGGTGATCGCTGCCAATGTTCTTCTAGTGTCCAACACGTCGTCCGTGAAAAGCCATGTGGAAGCAAAGAACGTGGCGTCGCCGCCAACGAGGAGGTTTCATCCAGTCGGGCACTGTCCAAAGACCGGCTACTAACGTACGCACGAGTGTCAGTTGTACCACGAATACGACTGTGAGATTCCACAAGGGATCGACAACGACGATACGCACCAATGCGCCGTACACATCGGTAAGAGCGTGCAAATTCACTCACCCCCAGATGTTATTTTTGACGTCATTAATGAATCGAGAAGCATTGTCATTTGACCAGTCCGACACTAGATGCAAGATTGGCGCTAGCATTGTAAAAGACGGAATAGTGTGGAAGCGCTTCGATAGCAGAAGACGAGAGGAAAGGGAAGCGCCTGCGTGTTCTCAGCCCGCGCATTCTTCGTCTTCTGGTACTTTTTGATACGTTTTGGGACGTTATTCCCCGCACGTGTCGAAATTACTTCTGAGCGTGTCGTACCCTTCCTCAGATTTGCGGAATTCCATTCGCGACTTGAAAGGGCACAAAACGCATAGGTACTTTACAATAGCGGGGTCGCGAGGTTCGTCAAGCAGAAGAGAGAGCTTGTCATTACATACCCACGAACGTTCGCTATCAGTTGTGTCGTGCCCTGATTGTACTTACTCTTACCCGCAGCAGCCTTATAGGACTGCAGACACAAGAGAGACTTGTGTCGTTGTACGTGCATGCTTTCTCCCTGAGCTCCAGCGTACTGCAAAAAGTAAAGGTGCTACGGGCCGCGCCCGGGTGGTCACACCCCGTTTTGTGGCTTAGCTTTCTGACCCATCCTTCTGATCCTGTTTTGTTGTGCATAAGTCGCGTGCGAGCATTGCAGCGTTGCTTGTTTAGATGTAATTCTTGGACCGAGCGAAAGGCACGAACGATGTGCATGGAAGCAGGTCTGGATGCAAATTGAGTCGGTGCATTGAGGCACAGTCGTACGTGTGTGTCCAGTGGAAAGCCTCGAAGCTCATATATAGTTGTCGTATGCAGCTCGCACGCGTTCTTGAGCGTATCGTCGTCGGTCGCGACGGTCAGTAGGCGTGTGATAAACCAGCACAGGTAGCACTAGTATTTGTTTTTTACGCCGCTGGCTCCGAGCCACAAACGTTCGCACGAGCAACACGCCGCCAAATCGTCTTCTGTAACTGTCGTCAAGCTTTGCTAAAAAGCCATCGTACAAACAGTTCCGTTGGTATCATCGCACAATTGATACCACCGCGCAGTTGGTATCATCACGCAGTTGGTGTGGTGTGGCGTACAAATAGAAAAATGGTGAAGCGCTCGCTTGGAGATAATTGGAATCAGATGAACTTACTGGACCTGGCTTGCCTTGCACACGTCGGAAATAGCACTTGATCTCGTACTTCCTAATAGCCGTATTGCACTCAATAAGAAAGGAGTCCTGGAGCGAGCGACCTTCTCGATGTGAAACGCCATCTAAATAGATGTTGACATGGAAACCGACTCGGACGTTCGGTGTTCACGAAGTGTCGTCAGTCTGTCGATCACAATTGCTGTCAAACAAAGCTGTCGAAACCGAAGACACACACACGTGTGCGGAAAGATACGACGGCGTTATCACGTGTAAGCAAGTGCAAGCTGTTGACGTTTCTCAATAACGACACAATGCTAGCACATGTCGCGTCATTGCATGTTTCGCAGCATGTTGCAGCTCCGTCCACACTTCAGTGACACTGATCTTGTTGCCCGTCAAGTTGCAGGCGACTTCGCAAAGGAACGATGAATGACAAACGGGTTTATTGTCAGCCATAACAAAGTGCGCGTGGAAACCAAAGCGGAGGTCGTGCTACATGATTCACACCTTCTTAACAAAGTTCTCTCGGGCTTTATCTGGGTATCTGACGCTGCACCACGTCACACGCACGCACCATTGGAAAAGGTCGCTCTCACACGAACGTATGTGCCAGGGTAATTTTCACACCAGCTCTTCGAAGCTGCCTTCAGGACACGGATCAGAATACATACATGTGCTTCCTGTGATGCAGGTGGTCAGAAGCCTTGCGCCACGTTGGAATCACGGAAAGTTTAACGGGGTAGCCCGTTGCATGAAATTACCATTGAGAAGAACTTGACAATAAAGAATATTACGTTCAATATCCTGTCAACAATAGCACAAGTATGGTGATATTGTTTGGATGACCGAAGGGTCTACTCATTGGTTGATATCGTGATGATATCAACCCACCAATCGCTGCTAGACGCGCGCGATGGGTGTTGAGTAGACGTCATCATACGTTTAGTTATATTAGTAAAATTAAGTCAGGACAAATAGAGACACAAGAGTTATAGGACTCATTATATTTAATAACAGTTTTACTTTTACCACGACTAGAGTCTTTACCTTATCCGTTTCCTTCCTCTGTGTAGTTCGACACCTATCTGGGCACTGACCTTCACTGTTGTCAGTGAAGGGTAAACTCCGTACTGGTAGTCCAGTACGTACGTGTCGATGACCCGTTATAGAAAGGCGTTTCGCTGTGTGATCATGTTGTATATTACTCATCGGAATCAATGGAAAGCTTCACCAAGACCTCGACCCGAGACGGAAGGGTTCACTTACTTCACAAGTCGAGGTGGAATGTCCCACGACGACGGAAATTATAAAATGGAAGGCAGACGAGTCTCTGAACGGTATTATAGGAAATATGTATTTCAAGTTATGAGCCTAGTTAGCAACGCCAATTTGTTGAGGCGAGTCCGATTTTGTGAGTTTATTTGACGTATGATGACGGCTAATGGGGTTGCCTGTCAATATAACGTCGGTATAGTAATCGGCAGGCAATATTTATTTTCGTCTCGTCTGACCGGTTAAGAAATTATTAATTACTAGGAGTTGCCTCATGCCCATGTCAAAAAAAGCGTTGAAACTTGTCTCGATAGACATGACATCGTGATGAAAAGTAGCACTATGTCTTAGTGTTCCTCAGCTCGCAATTCAATTACTTATGAGAATAATTCATAGTCTCGCCCGTTTAAGCGCACATACGGTGTCCTCATCCAGAAGTATTTGATGGACCGGGTTCAAAATAACGGACGACACATACAATATCTTACGCCTGTCACAAAATGCGAGAAAAACGTGCACGTTGCACATTCCATTTCGTTCACCGGTTTATATACAGATTAGACACGGTCAATAAACCGTAGGCACCGACACGTCCGAAAGTATGCTTCTATAGCTCCTTTCGCCTTAATAGACTTGTAAATTAAACATCTCGTGCGAGTTTCGTCCCCGTGCATATAGAGATGCATTTTTCGTAGTGCAAATCGATTAACGTAACACATCCTAATTGTCCATGAGCTTATTTCTATGGGCTAGGTGGTCGCAGGCGTCTCATTTTAAGCGACGCAGCCTTTTACGCACAATCGAGTGCTGTGGATAGTAACTTCTCTACTTTATGGGGTAATATCCTGCCCGTTTCATTGTTTGAATAACCGATTGTTGCTAGATGGCCTTCAAGAAGTGTAGATTCAAAGTTTAAACAGGCAGGGCCAAGGAATCTCGTGAAGAATTGGAACGTACAGAAATCGATGCCTCCCAAAACTTTGCATCGTCGAAATGTCTTGCAGTTGGCCATCGCCTGGTTCTCATAGTAAAGTGTTGCTAGCGTCCAATAATTTTCACTTTTTTCTTGTTCGGTAAAAATACTATCTTTGATTTAGCTGATCTCTTTCGCAATCATCTGTCTGATGCGGTCCCAGTGACGCAGTCCCAGTCAAAATTTAATTTTAGGCGAATGTTATTTAACATTAATATTTTATTATCCTGCACAGTTGTGGCAATGTCCAAATTTGGTGCGTTTATTATAATCGTCAGGCAACAGCGGCGTATCCCATCTTGTTAAAGTGTGGTGCTGGTCGTCATGAGTATGACATATCAATATGGCTAAACCCCGATGCAATATAAACCCATGTCTGGTATGTTGTAAAGCCGGATCTTGTCATACCCCTTGGATGTATGTTTCTCCCTTCAGTGATTTCGAATCCATGAATTTACACTTTTATATTCGCGCGTTGGTGTGGATACGATTCATCGTGGCACGAGAAAATCCGCCTACAACTTACCTGCAATGTCGACATTACCATCCTGCTTAGCCCTGCTAATCCTCCTCGAGGAAGGAATATCATGCCCGCACCGAGTGATCCTATTCCGGGTAGACCAGTGGTGATATTGCATGAGGGCGTAGGATGAGCCGCTCCACCCGTATACCCGTAGTTTGTGAAGAAGGACCTAGAAGCGGAGGTCTAAACTTCGAACTTATCGAAAGAGCTCAGCGATTTTCTTACGCGACTGCGTTCGGTGGACTCGGCGAACACCCCGATTTCGGTAAAATTTGCCAATCGGATCTCAGCGATTTCGCCGATAACGCCGTATCGAATTTTCCGACCGGGACTTGTCGAGTCTCACCGACCTGAAGTCGATGATTTTAGCCTATAGGCACTTAACGATTTTCGTCGAGCTAGTTTTGCCGATTTTAGCCGACTTCGTTCGAAGGAATTGTCCTGCCCTAGGCCCCGACAACTTTAGTTTCTTTTACCCTCGTGTACTGCCTGCTCCTCGGCATGACCCATTGTACCATTTGGACACCAACATCAGTCCGGATGGTCGTGCCGGCCTGCTTGGACATATCAGGCGCTGCGAGGCCAGACGTTACGCTGGGCCAAAAGGCGGTTTTGCTACGCGCGGCATTTAAGCATGGGCTGAGAAGGCGGACGATGACTCAATCACAATGATTTTA